CCCCCACGATCCTTCTTTCCCTTGTGCACTGCTGTTGACGTTGCGTCGTTACGTTGTGGTGCTGGTTCTTCTTTTTCGGTGGCTCCGACCGGCGTGCGTGCTTGTGCGTGGCGGCGGCGGTGGCGATGGCGCGAAACGCGGGCAACTTGCCGTCCGTCCTTCTGCTTCCGCAACCAACAGGCTATCGAGAAGGGCGTGGTGAGAAGGAAGAAGGAAAGAAGGAAGAAAGGAAGGAACAGAGGGAGGGAGGGCGCGTTCTGGGGTGCTTTCTTGGAGCTGCTGCTGTTGGTGTTGACTGAGAGCCGTTGTTGCGATCTCTTGGCTGTTTTTTGAAAACATTCACAATGAGGAAGGACACTAGCACTCAATCGGCGAACGCGCCGACTGCGTGTCCTCGCCCAAAACAGTTTTTTCAATTCTTTTTTCTTGGACAGCCTTTTCTGGTTCTCTCTTCCCTTCATCCTTTGTTTGCGCTCCCCCCCCTCCCCCCTGTACCCTATAAAAAAACAGGACACGTCCGTTTGCCTCCGCAACTACCGCGTGGACGGAGCCATGTTCTGGAACCAGTTCTTCATCGCGGCGCTGCGGGACGCCGAGGGCGCCGTGATCAACTACGTCGGGGTGCAGTGCAAGGTGGACGAAGAATTTGTCCGAGCTGTGCAGCGAACGGAGGGAGAGGAAGACGGCGAGGGCGACGAAGAGGAGGACGAGGACGAGGATCACAGTGACACGGAGGAAAAAGACGCCGCCGGTTAACGTTGGGCCGAGAGGTTCCGTGGAATCGCACGCCCGGGGAGGAGGTTTTTCGGGTTGGTGGGTGCTCCTCTCAGTAGGGGGGGGGGCAGTCGGTGTACGTTTTCGTTGTGAGTGGAGGTGATGCTGCTGAGGGGGAGGAAAGGGAGAAAATCGCGGGAAAGGGCAAGGCCTAGAGACACCGATCGTTCGTGAGCGGGTTGGTTTGGGGCGCGCGCGCAGCGGTTGGATGGTGCGCGTGCTTGCTCTTGGGCGGCTGCGGTAGCAGCAGCAGCAGCAGCAGCAGGTATAAACGACCCATATGACGCACGTGCTTGCATGTTTTGCCTTGTTCGCTACGATTGGTGGTAGTTTGATACTTCCCTTTTGATATCAGAAACTTGTCAAGTGAGTTAAAAGTGGAACGTCCAAAAGTTGGAGTTGAGTGCAGGTTTCCAGGAT